TCGTCATATTTTCCTCTTCGGTAATTCAGTCTTTTCCCCTCCACTCCCATCCTTGGATAGGTTATCCCTACCTCCACCAAGTACTCAAAGGTCAGTACACTGTGGTCACTCATTCCTATGGGGGCTTCAACTTTGACTTCCCTTATTTCTGACTCATTCAGGGTGAATATTAAGTCGAGTCTAGCTGGTTCATCATTGCCTCTCATTCTTGTGGGTTCCTTGACATGCTGGCTCAGAAAATTCCTTGTTGCCACTTCCAAGAGTTTAGCTCGCCACGTATCTGCACCACCATGTGGGTCCCCATTCTCCCAGTCTATCTTTCCATGGTTGAAATCACCCATGATTAAGAGTCTTGAGCCATTCCTGCAGGCAACTGAAGCTGCTCTCTCTATTATATTAATGGTTGCCATGTTGTTCCTATCAAACTCCTGTCTAGGTCTTCTGTCATTTAGGGGAGGGTTGTAAATGACTGTCACTATTATCTTAGCTCCACCCATTGTTATAGTTCCTGTTATGTAATCTCTGAATCCGTCACAGCCCGGAATTTCCATCTCATCAAAACTCCAGTCCTTCCTTATCAGCAGGGCCACTCCTCCACCTCCTCTCCCTTCCCTCTCTTTCCTTACTATATAGTAGTCCTTTGGAAACACAGCATCTGTTATGACTCCTGACAATTTTGTTTCTGTTAGTCCTATTACATCAGGGTTTTCTTCTTGCACCCTTTCTGCCAGTTCACTTGCTTTATTGGTAATCCCATCAATGTTTGAGTACATTACCTTAAAGCTGTGTATGTGTGTGTGAGTGTGTGTGTGTGTGTGTGTGTGTGTGTGTGTGTGTGTGTGTGTGTGTGTGTGTGTGTGTGTGTGTGTGTGTGTGTGTGTGTGTGTGTGTGTGTGTGTGTGTGTGTGTGTGTGTGTGCGTGTGCATGTGCGTGTGTGTGTGCGTGTGCGTGTGCGTGTGCGTGTGCGTGTGCGTGTGCGTGTGCGTGTGCGTGTGCGTGTGCGTGTGCGTGTGCGTGTGTGTGTGTGTGTGTGTGTGTGTGTGTGTGTGTGTGTGTGTGTGTGTGTGTTTGTGAAAAGAAGAAAATTGTTAGTAACTGTTGATTGGTTGATTGGTTGACATATTCATGCTTTGTTACAAAGTTCCTTTGCTCCAGATATTCCACTAGCACTTTCACACAATCTTCACCTTCAGTAGGGGAAGTTGAGACGCGAAAACTACCCGTTGAGACGCGGGCCGAAAGAGCAGAGGTCAACCCCCGAAACTAGGTGAATACAACTAGGTGAATACAATACCCAGGGCTCCCTACCATCAAAGCATACACTTGGTACACTACCAGTATTCCCATTACTCACTACCAGTGTACCAATGGTCCACTAACTGAATACCCATGGTCCACTACCAGCTTACCTATGGTCCACTACCAGTATATCTATGGTCCACTACCAGTATACCTCTTGTCCACTACCAGTATACCTATTTTCCACTACCAATATACCTATGGTCCACTACCAGTATACCTATGGTCCACTACCAGTATACCAATGACTCACTTCCATCATAACCCGGGCTCATTAACATGACAGCATACTAATGGTCGACTACCAGTATACCTAGTCCACTACCAGTAAACCTAGTCCACTACCAGTATACCTAGTCCATACCAGTATACATATGGTCTATACCTGCATACCTAGTCCACTATCAGTCTACCTATGGTCCACTACCAGTATACTCAGGGCTCACTACAAAAATGCATAGCTATGGTCCGCTACAAGTATACACAGAGCTCTCAAGCACAATTCCCAGGCTGACTAACATCAGAGCATACCCATGGTCCACTACTAGTAAACTCAGAGCTCAGTATCATCACAGCATACCCCTTGGTTCACTAAGAGTATATACAAGGCTCATTTCTATTACAGCATACTCATGGTCCAATACCAATATACCTAGGGCTCACTACCATCACTGCTCACCCATATTCACTGCTTGTATACTTAGGGATCACTACCATCACAGCATACCCATGGTTCATTACCAGTATAAACCGGACTTACTACTAGCCCGCATAAACATGGTTCAATACCACCATACCTAGGGCTCACTACATCACAGCATACCCACGATCTCATCACGAGTATAAACAGGGCTCATCACGATCATACTTAGGCTCACTACAATAACTGCATACACAAAGTCCAATACGAGTATACCCAGGGATCACTACCAACATACCCAGTACTCACTAACATCACAGAATACCCATGGGCAAATACTAGAATACTCAGAGCTTCCACCACTATAAAAAGAGCTCAATACCAACATACAATTCCCATTATCCACTACCAGTATACCCAGGTCTTATTACAACAATACCCAAGGCTCACCCCATCACAGTATACCAATGGCCCACTACCAGTATACTCAGGGCTCACTAGTACAATACCCAGGACTACTACCATCACAGCATGCCCATGGACGACTACCAGTATATCCAGGGCTCACTACTACAATACCCAGGACTATTACCATCACAGCATGCCCATGGACCACTACCAGCATACCCAGGGCTCACTACAATCACTGCATACCATGGGTCCATTACCAGTATACCCAGGGTTCATCGCCACTATTCCCATGGCTCAATAACATCATATCACAACTATGGTCCACTACCAGTATATTCCGGGTACACTTCCATCACAGCATACTCATGGTTCACTACCATTATAAAAATAGGTTCATTACCATCACAGCATTATCATGGTCTCATCACCAGTATTCTCATGGCTCCTCACCACAATACCCAAGGCTATCTACCATCACAGCATACCTATAGTCCACTACCAGTATACCCAGGACTCACCATCACTATACCAAGAGTTCACTGCAGTCACAGTTTTGTAATAGTCCAATACCAGGTTTCCCTGGGCTTACTACTACCATTCCAAGGGCTTACTAACCTCTCAGCATACCGATGGTTCACTTACTGTATACTCATGACTTCCACCCCCATACGCAGGTCTCACTACTATTACAGCATACCCATCATCCACAACCAATATTCCCACGGCTCATCACCATCATACCCAGGGTTTACTACCATCACAGCATACCCCATGGCTTCCACCACCATACCGAGGGCTCACTACCGTCACAGCATACCTATGGTCCACTGCCAGAACTCCCAGGGCTCATTACCACACTACCTATGGGTCACTACTGTCACAACGTACCCATGGTCCAAAACCAATACACCCAAGGCTCATCATAACCATTCCCACGGCTCATTATCATTACAGCATACCCATGGTCAACTTGCAGTATACTCAGGGCTTCCACCACCATACCCAGATTTCATTGCCACAATACTCTGGGCTCACTACCATCATAGCATACCTATGATCCACTACCAGTATACCCAGAGCTCAATACCTCCATACCCAGAGCTCACTTCTATCACAGCCTACCCATGATCCACTATCAGTTTACCCAGGGCTCACTACAACTATAACTACATATGGCTTACTACCATTACACCATACCCGTTTTCCACTACCAGTATTCACAGGGCTCGCTACCATCACAGCATACACTTGGTCCACTACCAGTATTCACAGGGCTCGCTACTATCACAGCATACACTTGGTCCACTACCAGTATTCACAGGGCTCGCTACCATCACAGCATACACTTGGTCCACTACCAGTATTCACAGGGCTCGCTACCATCACAGCATACACTTGGTCCACTACCAGTATTCACAGGGCTCGCTACTATCACAGCATACACTTGGTCCACTACCAGTATTCACAGGGCTCGCTACCATCACAGCATACACTTGGTCCACTACCAGTATTCACAGGGCTCGCTACTATCACAGCATACACTTGGTCCACTACCAGTATTCACAGGGCTCGCTACCATCACAGCATACACTTGGTCCACTACCAGTATTCACAGGGCTCACTACCATCACAGCATACCCATGGTCTCATCACAATTTTACCCCAGGGTTCATCAACACCATACCCAGGGCTTCTTACCATCACTGAATACCAGTATACCCAGGGCTCGATACCATTACAGCATACCCATGGTCCCCTACCAATATTTCCAGGGCTCACTACCACTATGTATTTGACTCACTACCCTCACACCATTGTATACTATCGGTATACCAAGGGACCAATTCAACTATACCGAGGTCTCACTACCAACACAGCATACCCATGGTCAACTACCAATATACTCAGGGCTCAATACCACAATACTTGGGAATCACTTACATCACAGAATACCCTTGAACCACTACCAGTATACCCAGGGCTTATCATCACCATTCTCTGAAGCGACCACACGAGTCATAAATACTCATACTCCGCCCAAGTAAAACAGAAACAAGCAACACTTAGTGGGTCAGCCAGAGGCTTAGGGCCCGCGCAGGTATATCCCTGCAAAAAAAAAATCACCATTCTCAGGGCTCATTACCATCACATCATATCTATGGTTCAGTAATAGTATACCCAGAGCTCAACATCTCCATACTCAGAGCTCACTACTATCACAGCATACTTATGGTCAACTACCTATATACCCAGAACTCAATACCATCATAGCCTACTAATAGTCCACACTAGTATCCTCTGGGTTCACTACCATCATTACATACCTATGGTCCACTACCAGTATACCCAGGGCTCATCGCCACCATACCCAGGGCTCACTACCATCACGGCATACTGGTGGTCCACTGCCAGTATACCCAGGGCTCATCGCCACTATACCCATGGCTCACTACCATCACAGTATACTCATGGTCCACTACCAGTATACCCAGGGCTCACTACTATTACAGCTTACTCATGGCCCACTAACATATACGCAGGGCTTATCGCCCCTCCATACCTAGGGCTCACTACCATCACAGCATACTAATGGTCCCCTTCTAGTTTACCCAGGGCTCATCACAAGCATAACCAAGAATCATCACGTACCAAATTTTTGCCAATATTACAGTCGTTGTGGGTGAGTGAGGTGCCCCTAAGGCCAATCTGCACGACGCGTGAACAGTCTAAGAGTCCCTCATCATAGGCCCTCTTGAAGGGGGTACCGTGGCCAATCTTGCTGCCAAGCACCTCCTCCTGCAGGTCCGGGTGGGCGTCCACGTGCACCACGCCAACTGGACCATATTTCTCCTGCATAAAAACATGTTAGGTTACAAACATTACTCATTCTAACATAGATGAAATAAATAGCTCAACCCACACATATTTGATATGAATGTGGCGACGTTACGGCCCATCCTGAACCCCTTATCATTTCACAAGTAAGAGTCCTGGGGCAGCACTCATCAGGCATTTGTGCATCCACTCTGAAATACCAGGGTTTAACCCTGCCCTCCACGTGCAGTTTTCATGAAGTCTGAAATGGAAACTGGTTGAAATTCGGAATGTGTTGTCCGTAGAATGTTAAAGGTACCCCCACTGTGTCCATCCACTTGGGGTGGACGGTAGAGCGACAGCCTTGCTTCATGCAGGCCGGCGTTCATTCTCCGACCCTCCAAATGGTTGGGTACCATTCCTTGCCTCCAAGTCCCATCCCAAATTCTTATCGTGACCCCTTAACAGTGCTATATAGTCGTAATAGATTGGCACTTTCCCCTAATAAATACCTTTTTTTTTTTTTTTTGAGATATATACAAGAGTTGTTACATTCTTGTACAGCCACTAGTACGCGTAGCGTTTCGGGCAAGTCCTTAATCCTATGGTCCCTGGAATACGATCCCCTGCCGCGAAGAATCGTTTTTTCATCCAAGTGCACATTTTACTGTTGCGTTAAACAGAGGTTACAGTTAAGGAATTGCGCCCAGTAAATCCTCCCCGGCCAGGATACGAACCCATGACATAGCGCTCGCGGAACGCCAGGCGAGTGTCTTACCACTACACCACGGAGACTGCAAAAAAAAAAAAAAAAAAACAGTGCTATATAGTCGTAATAGATTGGCACTTTCCCCTAATAAATACCTTACCTTACTTGAGCTGTTCATCTGAGCATTTGTATTTGTTTTGTTTAGATACATGAGTTTCTACATTCTTGTAGAGTCATTAGCACGCATAGTTTCGGGAAGGTCCTTAGTTAACCCTATTTTTTCCCAGTATACGACCCGCCAAATCGTCTAACAACTAGGTACCCATTCACTGCTGGGTGAACAGAGAGTACAGATGCCTGACCTGTTGGCCTGACGGCTGAATGGAAAGCGCTCGGGATTCGTAGTAACAAGGTTCAAGGTTTCACTTTCCTTCTTATGATGTCTTCGACGAAGCCATTGGAGAAGCCGTTGTTGACTAGGACCTGCCTTACCCTACAGAGTTCTTCGTCGACTTGCTTCCATTCTGAGCTGTGGCTGAGAGCACGGTCGACATATGCGTTAACAACACTCCTCTTGTACCTATCTGGGCAGTCGCTTTAGGCACATTCCTATGTTCGTTTTCTTAGTGTAGACTGCAGTGTGGAAACCTCCGCTCTTTTCCATGACTGTTACATCTAGAAAGGGCAGCTTCCCATCCTTTTCCATCTCGTAAGTGAAACGCAGCACGGAACTCCGCTTAAATGCCTCCTTCAGCTCCTGCAGATGTCTGACATCAGGTACCTGTGTAAAAATGTCGTCAACATACCTGCAGTATATGGCCGGTTTCAGGTACAACATACTGCAGGTATGTTGACAACATTTTTACACAGGTACCTGATGTCAGACATCTGCAGGAGCTGAAGGAGGCATTTGAGCGGAGTTCCGTGCTGCGTTTCACTTACGAGATGGAAAAGGATGGGAAGCTGTCCTTTCTAGATGTAACAGTCATGGAAAAGAGCGGAGGCTTCCACACTGCAGTCCACACTAAGGAAACGAACATAGGAATGTTCCTAAATGCCAAAAGCGACTGCCCAGACAGGTACAAGAGGAGTGTTGTTAACGCATATGTCGACCGTGCTCTCAGCCACAGCTCAGAATGGAAGCAAGTCGACAAAGAACTCTGTAGGGTAAGGCAGGTCCTAGTCAACAACGGCTTCTCCAATGGTTTCGTCGAAGACATCATAAGAAGGAAAGTGAAACGCCATGCAACCTCTGAAGAGACAACCAACACAACACCTTGTTACGGTGCCCTCTCCTATTTCTTTCGTTTGCCAGCTTAAAGAGTCATATCAGCTCTCCCTACTGATTCTCGGAGGTTTAGGGAGTCTAATAATGTAATGTGGCAACCAGACCAGCTGCCAGTTAAGGGAGAACGTTACATTATAAGTTGTAAATAAGGGGAAATTGGCGCCCTAATATAAAATGAAAGAGTATCCCCTAATGCAGATATGACCTTTTGGAAGGGACACTAGCCGATCGCGGATTGGCCGACTTAGGTCGCGGGCGACCAATCAGGGCTCGCCGTGACTTCACCGAGTGCCCCGGGCGGCGCCAACGTCAGAGTTGACCCGACCTTGGAAGCGACAGGACGCACCTCAGTCTGCTCTCAAGGATTAGAGGCTCTACAAGCCTTTCTTAGTGGATTAGTGCAGGCTATCACAGCCCATCGGATATATTGGAGACCCCGCGCTTCTGGGAAGCAAAAAGGAACCAAGTTTATTGAGCGAAAGAGGGCCAAACTTGGAAAATATTCGGCGACGACGCTGGGCGGCGATGCTGGACGTTGGGGGCCTGAAAAAATGTGGCGGGCAAGCCTAGCTGTGACTGGGTCACATCCACTGAGGGTTTTGGAAGGACGACACCGTGCCTAGGACAAGGAGCAACGCCTTGTGGAAGGGGCGAGTGTGGGAAAATAGTGATTAGCTCAGCGCCTATCAATGAACCAGGATTGGGGTAGCTGAATCTCAGGGATTGGAACGGCGACGACGCGAAGGCTCCACGACACCTGAGGACCTGTGGAACGTTCCTGGACCGTCAAGGATCGACCAGGAAGCGTGGGAACCTCACACTATCGAGGGACAGGCGTCGTGAGCCAGGAATGTAAGGTAGATCATTTTCCCTCCCATTACCCCTTGTGTGAGTAGGCTAGTTAGGCCACAATATTTACTTATGTATGTGGCAATAGGACATTAATACTTTAGTAGTAGAATAGGCTGCAAGGCAGCTTGTGTTCAGGAGTGTCAGAGGGGACAGTGTGCATGGATGGCAGGACAGTGAAGAAGAGGCGCCGACGTGGTGAAGAGGCCCTCCTGTGAGAGTGTGGGACTCCTGTCTTTCTGCCCAGTTGAAGGAGTGTTGGAGGTCGTGGAAGAAGAGGCTGACGATCTCCAGACTTATTATCCTTATTTTCATATTCATGTATTACTTGTGATTGAATGTGTGATCATGTAATTTGCATCAGTAAATTTACACTTTTATCATTGTGTTTAAGTGTGCCTCCAGTTATAACATTTCTCAATGAGCATACACGAAGGTATCATAGTACTTCCTAGGGAACACTACGTTCTCTATAGAAGTTCTTATTGCCTGGAGAGTGGTGAAGACAGCACAGACTTAAATAAAAGTGTACCCTTAGCCATCCGATCAGTATCAGTGCCTGAATGGTGGCAACTATTAACGTAGTAGATTAACGGCTAGAGAGAGGTAAAGCCACACAGACCTTCCTGGGAGAGTACCCTGGGCCGACAGTCTAGTAGCAGATCTATGGGAGTAGCAATCTTCTGGCTACAAACAATATATAATACACCCATTGAACTGCATTGCTGGGGTGCAGATATAATAACCCAGCTGGCGACCTTGTTAAGAAGATAGAGAAGACAGGCGGGAAAGGAGTTCCTGCAACCTTTTTGTTTGCCAGGCAAGACTCAGGGAGGTTATTATTATAAGGCAAGCCTGAGTCTTCCTTCACTCCTCCACGAGTCTAGGCCGGAACTGTTAACAGCAGTTTCCCCGTGTTTGACTGAAGGGCTTCCAGGGTGAATCAGTGGCACCCCCCCCCCCTTTTGTGGTGGAAGCAAAGGCCTGCGGAGGTGGGCATTGCTGGTCCTCTCCTGTGTGACCAAGGAGACTCCGGTAAATCCCGGGAGTCGGAGGGGCTGAGTATTCGGCCTTTTGAGCCCCTAGCAGCTGAGTGCTAGCAGAGCCCCGGCCCACCCTCGACGTGACAGAGAACTGGCGACCTTGCCAGGATTCGAACCCTGGTAGCCAAGAAATGGGAACTTCGCCAGGAAGCGTGGATCAAGCTACAGTGTGGCCCAAATTTCAAGACAAGTGTTGCCAGGGTACTAATGCGGTGTGACCAGTGAATTCAGTGGTACTGTTACTCAACCAGCTAAGGGACTGAAACGGTGAAATTAGTGTCTACTAACTTGTCTGTGCTGTCGTGTATGCTCAATGATATAGAGATGGAGGAGGACAAAGTAAAGAAATTTATTGACACAAGGGACGAGAGAATTTTGGAAGAGTGTCCCAAGGCCCAGCTCCAACAAGTGGCAAACCACTTTGGGATCAGGTTGAGGACGCCTAAGGTAGCGGAGCGAAGGATAGAGATCATGGCACAGCTCACAGCTCGAGAGGAGGCGATGGGAGAGGAGCCATCTCAAGAGGAACCGTCCCGAGGAGAGCCGTCGCAAGGTGAACCGTCCCGACTAGAGCCACCCCAAGCGCCTACCAGTGTGGAGGGAATTCACAGTGAATATGGGAGCAGTGGAAGGTCCAGCTGTAGTAAGAGAAGCCTGCATCTGGAAATAATGAAGATGCAGCTGGAAGCCCAGCTGCGACGAGAGGAGAGAGAAGCACGGCTGCAGCTGCAGCGAGAGGAACGTGCAGCTGAGCTGCAGCGAGAGGAACGTGCAGCTGAGCTGCAGCGAGAGGAGCGTGAGCGAGAAGCTCGGCTGCAGCGGGAAGAAGGAGAGAGACAACTGCGACTGGAGGAGATAAAGGCAAAGAAAGAAGTCGAATTGCGTCGCGTTGAGCATGGTCTGCCCTCACTACCTGCACGGCGGGATGACCTCAAGGTAAGGGAACGTGACTTACCTACGTTCGAACCACAGGAAGATGAGGCGTTCTTTGAACGGATAGCAACTCTGAAGGAGTGGCCGGAAGATGATTGGGCTGCTCTGGTCCAGGGCAGGTTGACTGGTGAGGCCCGGGAAGCCTACAACATGCTGGACCTAGAGGAGTGTACTAGTTACGACGCAATTAAGAATGCGGTGCTCCACTCATTCC